CGCCGCGCACGCGCCGCCGCCCGCACGTGCGCCCCCAGGTGCGCGGGGCGCCCCCGCAGCCCCCCCGCACCTCCCCCCGCCCAACCCCCCGCGTGTGGCGGGGCCCGGCGGCCGCTCCGGGCCGGGAGGGTGGGGGGGCAGCGGCTCCGCACCCGCCGGTACCGCGGGGCGCATCCGGCGGGCAGGGCGGGGAAGGGGCCTGTCCCTTTAAGAAGAGGCCCGGCTGCTGCGGCCGCCGGTCGGCGCGGGGGGTGAAGCCGCGGCCTGCCCGCCCGGAGCCCCCATCGTCGCCCGCAGTAGCCCCGGCTCCGCGTGTCCTTGCGCGGTCGCCGCGGTGGCTCACCTGAGTAGCGGGCCCGGCGGCGGTGCGGCGGCGGCGGTGGCAGGGGGCTGGGGGTGTCTCCCGGGCTCGCTCCCCCGCTTGCTCCACCCGGCCTCTCGTCCCGCGTTGCCGGGGCTGGCGTTGCCTGTCTCCTGCCGCGGAGCGCTCCCGGCTCCTGCCTCGCCAAGATGGCGCCCGCGCTGGTGCTGAGGAGGAGGCGGCGGCTGCGGGCGCTGGGACGGCGGCGGCGGCCACTTTCGCTCACTGAGAGGAGAGGAGCAGGGACACGGGGAGCCATGGCGGGGGGGAGGAGAGGCGCCATGCCCAGGCCTGATCAATCGAACCCCGTATGCCTCCTCGGCGCCCTGGCCCCGCACCCTGGCCCCGCCGCCCCGCCCCCGTCGCCGTGGCCGCCGTACGGACCCGGGCCCGCACCGCGGGGCTCAGGCCCGCACGGACCCCGCGAGGGGCGCGCGTTCATCGATGCGCTCCCGCGGCCGATTGGTAGGGTCTGGAGGTGACGGAAATTGCCGAAGGGACTCGGCCGAGGCGGCGGGTGAGCCAGCGAGTCTCGCGCGAGGCGGGGCGGGGTCTCGCGGTGCTGGCGCGAGGAGGCGGGTGCGTCCCGGAAGTGACGCGCCGTCGCCCTTGAGGCCCCGCGGGGTGGGTGCGGCGCCGCTCGGACCCCCGGGCCAGTCCCGGGTCGGGCAGGGAGCGGGGTCGTGCGTGTCCCCCGAGGCTGCCCCTTCCAACCACGCAGGAGGCGGCCTGTGCCGGCCCGGCCCCCGCGGCCGATGGGAGCGGTGCGGGGCTGACAGCGCTGGAACCGGGGCGCCGTCACGGTTATAACACGTGGGGCTACGTGCGTTCCACCGCCTTCGCTTTGTCATGCACGGAGTTGCATAAGAGGAGCCCAGGACGAAATAGGCCCGAAGGTTAATTGCGAAGAGGCTTTGCAGTGAAAACACGCTGTGGCCATCGGCTGTTCGACACCGCTGCTTCCCCAAACCACTAAATAGCATATTTACAGCAAATCCTTAAAAGCGTGACTAATCCAGACCACTTAGTGCATGGAGATAAAAATTGTGTTCATGACTAAGCTGTGTCACTCCATCTCTCGGTAGGCACCACCGCGTCCTGGTTTTGGCTGGGATGGAGTTAATTTCTTCTCAGTAGCTGGTGCAGTGCTGAGTTTTGGATTCAGAATTAAAATAATGTTGTTATCACACTGATGTTTTCAGGTTTGCTAAGTTGCATTTATGCCAAGTCAAGGATAGTTTTTTTTGGTTTGGGATTTTTGGTGCAGGAGGTGCAGAAAAGAGAAAGTGTGAGGAAGCATGGCCAGGACAACTGACCCGAACTGGCCAAAAGAATATTCCTTACCATAAAATGTCATGCCCAGTATATAAACTGAGGAGAGTTACCTGGAAGGGGAGCTAGTCTGGGTTTGGGAATGGCAGTCTGGCATCCGTCAGTAAGTGGTGAGCAATTGTATTGTGCGTCACTTGTTTTTCTTTCTATTATCATTCTTACTATATTTTACTTCAGTCTCAATTATTAAACTGTTCTTATCTCAACCTAGAAGTTTTACTTTCAGTTCTCCCCATTCCACTGAGGGAGGGGGAAGAGGGGGGTTGAGGGAGTGCCTCTGTGGTGCTTAGTTGCCAGCTGGGCTTAAACCATAACACACAGTTACTAGGCAATAAAAATAAGACCATCACTACTCCCCCAGTAAAACTTCACTAGAGTTGTCCTGAACTAGTGGTGGCACTTGTATCCCTAACTGCAGCCGGGAACTAGCGGTGTTCAGCTTCCTGTGCATGGTTTGGTTACTTTTACCAAGCTTAGACAGAGCAGCATGACAAGGGCTTGTGGACCATCAAAAAAACCCCATTTTTTTTTTCTCCTTTAAGAAAATTATAATTTTTAATCTTGTGCATCAATGAGTGATTACTCCATTCCAATCTTACTACTTCTCTTTATGCTGGTCCCAAAAGAGAACCAAAGGAAAAGCTGCAACCATGTTTATCCAGGAATTTGCTACTTAAATCAGTATAGTGGCACTGATGCAATTAGACTGTCAAGTCCCTCCCTGGAAATCCTTATTCCATGACAATACAATTCCAGCCAGGGATTTACTTCCTGGAAGAGACTGAGAACGCAGCTCAGTGTCTTATCGAGAAGGGTGGCCTCAGCAATTAGTTTGTATCTTGTACAGAGACACTCCAGACCACACTTCTATATCCCAGACTTGATGCTTTCACGTTCCAGCCATTCTTCCCTCCCTCCTTCCGTTATCTGATGTGTTCCCATTTTTTCTCTCTCTGTTAATAGGACTTGGTGGACCCAGATGATTTTGGTTGTGGAAACAAAACATAATTGCTCTTTATCTGTCTCTGGCACAGAAAAGCCAGAATGCTCCACATGGTACCTCACTGACCTGTGATATCCCATCACTGCTTGAAAGAATCTTGCTTCAGATAAATAAAAAAAGAGCAAACCTTGGCAATTTTTCTGTTACTCTCAGAAGTCAGCAAGTCCTATCTATAGTTTCAAAGAAGAGACCTATTTAAATACTGCCGGTCTAGTGCTCTATGGAGAGAAGAAAAAACCCCACACATTTCCCCAAATAATATTTAGAAGAAATGCAGACAGTTACATCATAAGCACAGTCACACCAATTTACATCCAAAGAAAACCAGCTCAAACGGGTATTGACACGTACTCACATGCAGATATCATGTCCCTTCCAACGTGGTATCATTACTATTCCCACATTTACAACTTGATGCCCAGGTTGTTCTTGGACTGCAGTCTGGTTGGCACAGTGACTTCTTCCATTCTTCCCTATTCCATGTTGTTCACCAGTGTTCACCAATACACCAATAAAAGTGTTCCAAGATTTGGACATGGCCTACATTAATTTTGTCGCGTGGTAAATAGTTTTGCCTTAATACCTTATTTTGCTTGGGAAGGGACTGCTATACACCTTTTAAATCAATTTAGGTGCTTCTGCCCCCCTGTTCATACACTCCTGTGTATCGACACACAGCATGTGTGTGTTACAGTCTTATCTACCTGAGCTGGATGCAGCAGCGCTGACAGACAGTGGTGATAATGGGGTGCAACTTCCAGCAGGCCACTCTAATGAGAGTTTTACATACCTGCAACAAGTAACAAAAGAACCAATACAATTTAAGACATTGGTAACAATGCCAGAAAAACAAAAGTCGCTGTTTTAAAATCAAAAACAGCTCTTGGGAAAAATGGATCTCAAGAAAAGACCTAGAGAAGAACAGTCAGAGGCAGCAGGAATTTCCTCTGAAAGACCATTACTATTTCCATTCAACAATGGCTTTACCCCTTATTGTAAAGCAAGGAGCTTTTGACACCTCTGCATGGGGAATAACCCCTTTTTTCACTTGGATGTCTCCAAACACCCACTATAAGCTCATCAAGTTGCCTGTGTCAGAAACTACATTCTGTACAGTTGGCTTGATGTCAGTTTAAGGTCCTTCCACAGATTTACCACATGACTTTGATTTTCAAGCTCTTCTTTGACAAAGTACATCGTGATTGTTGAAGAACATGATTTGAGACTCTGCTTCACTTCTGGGAAATCAATTCCAATTATGTCTGTAGTTGCAATCCTTCTGTGGATTTTTTTCTCTCTACTAAATTCCATGGCTGGTCTCACCAAAAGACCATCCTCATTCATCCTGTAGTCTTTTACTGCTTTCTCCCTTTGCAGATTCTGGATGTCTGCCAGCTGACATGGCTCCTCTGGCAGCTCTGTAAAAGTGGGATAATAAGGAAAAAGGAAAAGAAACAGAAAACTCCCCGAACCAATACATACTATACTTTTGTTAGAACCAGGGAAGTGTTCCCCCTGTAATTAGCCAATGGAACACAACAATCATCTCATTAGATCCATGGAATTTATCGACTACCTGTTTACACAAACAGGAGACCTTAAGGGAAAAAAAGTTACATGTCCCCCACACTTTCTTTGAAAGGCAACCCAAAGGAAAAAATACTAGGCTTCCATTTATTGTTTACTTCTTTATTATGAAGATCTTCAAGATTTTAAGTAATACTTCACATATGGGTTTTTAGATTTCTCCTGAGAAGCATTTTGCACTATGAAGTTGTAAATCCCAAAAGAAGCCTGAGCAGTTCATGTTTGCTTGTAGGAACCACTGCAAAGACAGCTGTCCCAGCTTTTTATTTAAAACCATGATATTCTATTCTATTGGTAAAAAAACACAACACTTACGTGGACCAAAGCCAACATAGTTAACAAATTGATGAAACAGCTTAGGAAGTATGTGAAGAGACATACACTCCTTGATTTGGCCCTGAGCAGTGCAGTGTTCAAAATACTAAATCCAAGGAGCTGTTCCATGACAAGGTCTGCCATGTTCATTTGTAGAAACAACAAGAAAATCCACAGTTGTGTTCTGCTGTAGAAAGGGGAATTACATAAATAAGGAAGCTTGATAAAAAGTAGTAATTGGCAGCCAAGCAAATTCAATCCTAGCAGGTAATATGGAGACAACTTCAAGGCAACACACAAGCAGCATAGAGTAAACATTACCTGTTGCAGGGTTCAAATTGTGAACAATTTCCATTGCATTTCT